TGTAGTTTAGACATCACACCTTCCCTGCTCCCACAGGATAATGTTGTTTGAAGCCTTGCAGATAATGCCATTCTCATCTGCTGCTTGGGTCCTAGGATGTGTGTGACCGACTGAAGATGTGTGTGAGTGTGAGACTGAGTGTCTGCGTCCCTAAAGACATTGTCTTTGTTGTATTGTGTGTTGTCTTTGTGCCGTGTAGCAGCTGTGCTCAGAAATGCTTCAGTGAGCCCACACAGGCTGTTCAGCATTCGTGCAGGATGTCAGAGTTATCCACCATCACACTGTAAGTGTGTGTGTGTGTGTGTGTGTGTGTGTGTGTGTGTGTGTGTGTGTGTGTGTGTGTGTGTGTGTGTGTGTGTTACACCAGGGGTTCCTGAGGATTTTTAATTGGAGGTTAACAAATGTATCATAAACAGAAAAACAATTGAAACTGCATTTGTTAACTTGGGTATTTCTGTATTTTTAGCTGCATCAGCTCAGTGGCCTAGTGGTATGAGTGTCTGGACTGGGAAATTGGGGTTCAAATCCCAGTCAGGTCATACCAAAGACTTAAAAAATGGGACCCAATGTAGAAAATTAAATTTTTTGCACCGATTTAGAACAGAATAAACAAACCGTGAACAGTGGGAGTGTTATAATTCCACTAGAGGTCATCCGAACTTTAACCTTAACTACTTCCAAATACATAGAGGGTTATATACTGTATTATATATTTTAGAATATATTTAAAAATAATATAGATTCAATTTTCAATAAGCATCACAACAGAAGTAGCACCATTTTTTTTGTTTAAAATTCATTTAGCCCCAAAAATATTGTTAAAATGGAAGCATAAAGAAATATAATTATTTTTTAAGTAGTCACATCAGATTATTAAATTATTTTTTTGCTAATTCCATATTTTCCTTAATCTCATGTTCTCCTTGAATCTCCAGAAATTCTCCAGTTTTTTGTATTTTTATTTTATGAACTTTGTGATGATTTACGGTCAATTTTCACAAAACTTTAATGCATAATTAAAAGCAAATATCCATTTTCATCTTTCTGTTGATTATTTCATTAATAAACAAACAACATTTAGTTTTGAAATAAAAACGGATGCATGTTTGTTGTTTTAAGACTCAGTTTTAACCCTTTAACTTTCACGATAAGAAAAATAAAGTCTTTAGATGTTATTCATATTTTTTAGGATTGAATGGGCTTGGGATCACACGTGATCACTCGTAGCATTGTGGGATGTGCGCAGACATGTTGATGTTCTTACGGGTGTAAACAAACCGTGAAAACAAACAGTGTGTCGTAGAGAAGAAGCGATTTGGGTGAAAGGAAGTGTTAATGTTAAAATTCCTAAAAGGATGCGGAATGCATAGGGACATGTTAAATAAAGACACCGGCGACCGGTATGTGAACAAAATCAGCATTAGAAACGGTTTGGATCCAAATGAAAAACCCAAGACCTAAAACTTGTCGCCGCCACAGTTCTGCATAACAGACATTTTCGGCTTTATCGTCTGTGGTATGAGCAGATGTAAATGTCCGGATGAGAAGTAAATGTTTGCTGGTTTTTATGGGATTAGATTTGTGCCAATAGGATCAAGAAAAACACTTTGGAGAGCAAACAAATTTTAAGACACTGAGAGAAAAAACCTTGGTTTCAAAAGAAAAACTTACGATCTGAATCAGATTCTTAAAATGATCAAGAAAATCACTGTGACGGTCAAACAAAAATTAAGAAATTGACAGAACAAAAATATTGACTAAAGGAAAAAAGCATGTTTCAAAAGTAAAACTTACTATCTGAATAAACTTCTTAAAATGAGTAACAAAGTATGTTTCCTTTTTCTGTTTGCCTCTATGTGTTTTTGTTATCAATTTCCTTAGTTTTGTTCTCTGCTCAGAGCTTTGCTCTCACTTCCAGATTTGCACTTACACTGTCTGGCTTTCTCCTTTGCAATCCCTGAGTTTTTGGTTGCAATTCTGACACAACCCTTTCGGGTGGGCGGGACTTCTGAGAAGTCCTCTCCCATAGGACAGTGGTTTCTCTTGAGTGACAGTTCAGTGACCTGGAAGTGATGTAGCCTCCAAGACATTTTTTTCCCACCTGGTCAACAACATGAATTTTGAGCCCCAAACAGGTTATTTCTGCTGTCTGTGGTGTCTACTGAGGATCTAAAGTGAGTATTGATAATATATTTTATCTTTTCTTAGTTCATCTGTAAGTTAAGCCACTTTTTAAGTTGGTTTTAACCAGATGCTAGCTCACTAGCTAGCTGCTAAGCAAGCCATTGTGCTAGCCTCAGGACAATGGACTATTGTTCCAGAGAGACGTATTAAAAACTCATCTTAACATATTCATTACTGGGTTCATGGAATTAATTATTGCAGTTTATGTTAATAAGTTTGCTAATTTTTCAGGAACCTGTGGAACATTAGAGACTTTGCAGCTACTGGAGCTAACCTGTGTACTGCTAACTTGCTACAGAGGAAGCAGCAGAAAGCTGAGCTAACAGGCTGTTTTGCAGGTAAATACTCTTTTAGTGGAACTGCAGGATTTTTATGGTATAACTCAGACATAATCTACATGAGCTATTGTGGGAAGACATTTAAACTACATTTACATACAGATACATGTATTTTTTTATTCCATGTTACTTGGACGGGCTAAACAAGTTCATAGTTCTGCCTGCTCCTTTTTCAGTGAAACGAATGGATTTTATGATGTAACTCTGACTGAATAATTATCTAAGTGAGTATGTTTGATAATACATTTCTTTCCAATATACAGATCTGACATTTGTTTGTCAGAACAAGACAAATCAGATTCAATGTGCTTTCTGTCACATGCTCTGTATTCTCCATGAAAAGAATGTTATCCAGGACAGATAATCAATAATGAGTTAAATACATGCTTTAAATTAATTTTTACATAAAATCTATATTTTTGTCTAAAAGCTATTATTTATGTATTTATTCTTTCTTTTCAGATTGAAAACTGCTGCATTGCATTACAATGGAAGTGCTACACAGCCACATGCATCAACTGCAGCTGGTGAGCTAAGACACACCATAGTGTACACAAAGTGCACTGCAGACAAGGGATGTAAGAAAATATCAATATGACAATATATTGCGATGTATTTTCCCAGTAATATTGTATCGATATTCTCGAACTCTGTCTCTAAAATATCGATATGGCAATATATCGTGATATTTTTTCCTGAGATATTACATCCATTTTCAAAAGCAGTGTATCTAATTTTTGGAAGAATTTACATGCAAACATTTGTGTATTTTCTTTGTTTTTGGTGCATTTTAAATGTGGCCCGCTAGTTGGCAGCAGTGTGCACTGGGTTTTGTTTCCACCATTGAAATTTAAATCTCGCTATTATGGTTCAGAAACTCATGTTATATATGTTAAGTATCAGTTTGGACTGTTTATTGAATATTCCAACAATAAATTCTGTCAAAAATACACATCCCTACTGCAGACCAATCCCACCTCATGTAGTTCATATGCTGTATAATAAACCCACAGTGATGGTTATGGATAAATATCTGTACTAATGGTAATCTTTTTCCATTGTTTCCAGTTGACAAGCATATGGACCTATTGTTCGAGTCCGTGGTGGTGGATGCTCTACCATATCAGGAGTCTGACTAAGTACCTGTGCCTGAACCTCTCTGTGTCTAGTTCAAAAGACCTGAAAGACCTGCTGTAAGCAGGCACAGGATAAGATTTTAAAAGAACCTGTAAGGTGAGCAACACAACACAATATAAATCTTTATTATTATTGTACGCTGTACAGCTAGAATAAACTTGCATGCTCAGAAGCCACGTATGATTACATCGCCTACAGGTTGCCTGATGCTGAACTTCGGGCAGCTGCGTGCTCAGTGGAACAACCGCCTGTGGGAGGAGTCGTTGTGTTGCTGTTAGGAGTTTGGGTCGGAGTCCTGGGTTTGTGTTCCCTTTAATCTCTTCATTAGCCTTGCTAGTCACCATTGCAGAGCACCATGGAGAGGCTTACCTGAAAACTCTTCTCATGGGGCAGGCACATCCTCACACACCTGTAACCCCATCCTTGAATAAAAGCTGGTAGCTGGTCACTCATCAGTGTTTTAACCCATATCTAGCCCATGACTCTGCCGTTTTTCAAACTTACGTTCTCATGTTCTATGCAGATCTATGGGAATTCTTTCCTTGAAGCTCCTGATCACACAACCATACTGGCAGTCGGCTTACCCACTACCTTCTGCTCACCCGCTTGCTACTCATGCTGTCATTCTCCCAGACTTCTGGTTGTTTCTCCACCATTCTGCTGTCTCCCGTCTGCGCTACAATTTCAGACCGTAAGTACCTAAACTTTTCCTTTTGTAAGTCATTCTTTAGTCATTGCTAACACTCAATTTTACCTCAGGGCCTTCTGATCTTTAAACACTAAAACCTGTGGCTCCATCTCTGTGGCGTTTCTCAGACTCCGTAAGCTACCTGCACAGTCTAAGAAAACCCTGACCTGTTGCCTCTTACTAACCTCTGCTCTTCCTCGCAGAAGCTTCTGGTTCCTGATCTCCAGCAGTTACCTCTTCAGTCATCCGTCAAACATTTTAATAAACTGTTTTTAGCTCATTTGTCTCCTGAGTTTCTCTGCATGAAGGTCAGGTTGTTGCAAAAATCATGACATCAGCAATTACTTTGCACCACTCTGTTAAACAGCTGATATTAATTTCAAGTGTATCTTTAAAAATACATTGAATGTCAAAGTGAATGAAAGGCATCCATTCAGCTTTCGGTGTCTAATGCAGGATTTTACGGACAGGCACCAAAACAGGAAATTTATAAATTGAGATTTATTTACTAAATCAGGTAAACCGTAATAAAACACTAATGTTTAAAGTCCGGAGGAGGGAGGAAGGCTTTATAGCAGGGGTATTCAATTCTAGTCCTGGATGGCTGGTATCCAGCACGTTTTAGTTGTTTCCCTGCTCCAACACACTTGAATCAGTGGTTGAATTACCTGTGCAGCAGCTCTGCAGAAGCCTGTTAATTATCTGCTGACTGAAATCAGGTGTATTGAAACAGAGTTAAAACTAAAACGTGCTGGATACCGGCCCTCCAGGCCCAGAAGTAAATACTCCTGCTTTATAGGCACAGAGAACTCCCATCAGGATCCTGGAGACGGCACAAGGAGATGACAACATGAGTGTGCCCTCCCAGATCACACCAACACCACCTGACCACATGGAGGCATGTGTCTGTAAGAAAGAAAAACTGGTGATGTAAGAGATTAAACAAAAACTACGAACAAAATCAATTTTACAGTTGTTTAACCTGCTGAGCATCGTCTCCCCAAAGAGCTGCACAAAGGTGCAACTGGCTCAGAACCAGAGTGCTCCGTTGTGCAGGTAGTCACCTCCTGCTGACACCTGAGGATTACCTACAACAAAGGGAAAACTGATATCAATAAGGAAATAATTAAATCAGAGCTAAAAGTTTAATTTTAGTGTGACGTTTGAGATTGTGGGAAATAAATGTGGACATTATGATTTTCTATTGTGGGGTCAGTACCTTGGGCGTTTCTCTGTAGCAACATTTTGTCTGGCTGACAATGAAGTAAAAAAGTCACCAGTTGAGGCAGAGTTAGACTACATTACTCCAGCTAAGCTAAATGTAGCTAAAATAGACACTAGTCACCAGACTATGGTTACTATAGATTTACTAGAGTTACATCATAAAATCCATTAGTTTCACTGAAAAAGGAGCAGGCAGAACTATGAACTTGTTTAGCCCGTCCAAGTAACATGGAATAAAAAAATACTTGTATCTGTATGTAAATGTAGTTTAAATGTCTTCCCACAATAGCTCATGTAGATTCTGTCTGAGTTATACCATAAAAATCCTGCAGTTCCACTAAAAGAGTATTTACCTGCAAAACAGCCTGTTAGCTCAGCTTTCTGCTGCTTCCTCTGTAGCAAGTTAGCAGTACACAGGTTAGCTCCAGTAGCTGCAAAGTCTCTGATGTTCCACAGGTTCCTGAAAAATTAGCAAACTTATTAACATAAACTGCAATAATTAATTCCATGAAACCAGTAATGAATATGTTAAGATGAGTTTTTAATACGTCTCTCTGGAACAATAGTCCATTGTCCTGAGGCTAGCACAATGGCTTGCTTAGCAGCCAGCTAGTGAGCTAGCATCTGGTTAAAACCAACTTAAAAAGTGGCTTAACTTACAGATGAACTAAGAAAAGATAAAATATATTATCAATACTCACTTTAGATCCTCAGTAGACACCACAGACAGCAGAAATAACCTGTATGGGGCTCAAAATTCATGTTGTTGACCAGGTGGGAAAAAAATGTCTTGGAGGCTACATCACTTCCAGGTCACTGAACTGTCACTCAAGAGAAACCACTGTCCTATGGGAGAGGACTTCTCAGAAGTCCCGCCCACCCAAAAGGGTTGTGTCAGAATTGCAACCAAAAACTCAGGGATTGCAAAGGAGAAAGCCAGACAGTGTAAGTGCAAATCTGGTAGTGAGAGCAAAGCTCTGAGCAGCGAGAACAAAACTAAGGAAATTGATAACAAAAACACATAGAGGCAAACAGAAAAAGGAAACATACTTTGTTACTCATTTTAAGAAGTTGATTCAGATAGTAAGTTTTACTTTTGAAATATGTTTTTTTCCTTTAGTCAATATTTTTGTTCTGTCAATTTCTTAATTTTTGTTTGACCGTCAAAGTGTTTTTCTTGATCATTTTAAGAATCTGATTCAGATCGTAAGTTTTTCTTTTGAAACCAATGTTTTTTCTCTCAATGTCTTAAAATTTGTTTGCTCTCCAAAGTGTTTTTCTTGATCCTATTGGCACAAATCTAATCCCATAGCTTTTTCTAGTAAAACAATCAAACTCGACATCCCACATAAGAAGTGTAGCAGGAGAAGTTGTGTTGTGTTTAGCTGCCCCGTATGTGTGTGTATCCTGTGTGTGCATGTTGCAGTTGAAGGAAAGAAACAAAAAACAGTACACCATCTATAACTTACCAGAATGAAAATACTCTGGAAGGTGATATTTGGTCGCCTTAAGCTTAATTTATACTTCTCAGTCAGCTTCATGAGGAAGAGACCCGTGACGCACGGACGGAAACATTTTGCCTTCAGACTTTGCCATCTGCTGGGGAGTGTTGCAAAGCAATTCCCCGCCAGGACAACAGAGGGCGTAGCACTGTTCTGGGGTATCCTGTCATGCATCCGGTCCAAAATAGTGCATTTACTATTGTGTTTATGTTGTGTTTTTTGCATTTAAGAGACTTTTTAACATGGGCAAATTTGTCTCTCATTCCCCTCCACTCGCCACCTCGCTCTAAACCCACGTTTCCCATCATTTCCCTCCACAAATAAAATGCTTGCTGTGTATCTTTTCATTCCTCCAGTCATGGGTGAATAAAACGTTAATATTTTTTGAGTTTTTCCGCGAGGGTATCTTCAAGCTGCTTCGTTCAGCTCTCTTCATGTTTTTGAGGGCACAATGGCGTCCTGACCAATCACAAGCTTGCGTTCTCCGTCTCCATCTAGACTCCGTCAGCCCTTGCGAATCTGCTGGAGAGCCTTCGAAGGGATGGATAATGGTGTTGTGTGCGTCCGTTCCGATGCAGATGGACAAGTATAGATTAGGCATTATAGCTGAGATCCAAGCGAGCCGACAAGACTTTGTTATGTTAGATATTTGGACTCCGTGGTGATGCATCCAAGCAGGAAAATGGTGAAAAATTTGCCCATTTTCCATCTTTATTCCCATGGTGATCACGTGTTGCACCCCAAAACACAGCAACGATTACCCATAGTTGCGTAATATAACCGATCAAATGAATGAAGAAACAAATAAGGACTCATAGGCCACCAAGGTGGTGGCCGAGTCGGTGATGACGTGATCACAAGCCCAATTCCGCCCTATTTCATGCATGTTACAATAAAATAAAGGGATTAAAATGTGCTCTGCCAAAGAATTAAGTAATTAACATTACAATGTCAATGCCCTTTTAACCCCTTCAAAATGCCTGTGCTGCATTTCTGAATGTCAAATATATTCATATTAGTTTTGTGTAAAGCTGGTTTAGCCTGATGTTGCATTAGAGCGATACTATTGTGACATAGTGGGAATATATTCTCGCTTATTTCAAACTCACAATAAATCAGATCATTGGATGGTTATTCAATGATGGGATTTAGAAGCAGGAACATGCTAACTTTTGTTTTTGACTTTTAAATAACAGAAACTGAAATGTGTCATTTTTAGGGATGCACGATATATTGGCACCAATGTCGGTATCGGCCGATGTTGTTTATTTTTTAACATATTGATATCAGTCCCATAAGTAAAACTAGGCTGATATTAACAACTGATATTTTTTCCATCTTGTTGCTGTTTGTGTTTCAGTTTCGGGGGGGTGAAAAGAGTATGGTGATACAAATATTTCTCAGTATAAGAGAGAGAGGATACAATATATTGCAGTTTTTTATACTGAATTTAATTGAAAACCTCAGGTCAGATGCTTCTAAAACATCCAATTTTATCACGAGACCTTGTTCTGTCAGAATGAAGGTGCTAAAAACTGTAAATGTCCTTATGCAAATCCTCAATAAAAAGTCTAAACACTGCTTTTATATATTTATTCAATATCTGAACACAACGTTTTGTGTGTATTGTTATTTTCTTACATCCCTACTTATATTAACGTTAATTATGGGATATACCAGTGATTTTATTATCGGCCTACCTGTTCACATTGGTGCATCACGGGTAATTATATGTTTAAAAGGTTGTTAAATACTCTAAATTTCAGCTCAGAAATGAGTCACTGTTAAATATCTTCATGAGGACCCCTGGAGCCGCTGGACTACACTGTAAAAACGATTGTGTGTTAAATTTGTCAGTGTGATTGTTGTGTGTTTTTCCATCTGCCCTGCTGTTGCTGGATGCATGACACAAACTAAATGTGTGAATATAACGACCTAGATGGACTAATATGCAAAAACAAGAGCCTCAGATGATTCGATATACTAGATGTCTGTTGTGATTTTTATGTTTTTCTTATTGTCGACAATAAGAAGATGAGAAGATGATTGAATCCATATTTCATTCACGTAATTTCATTTGCGTGAACATAAATCGAACAATTGTTGAAGCACATCATAGGTGCCTTTTAAGTTGTTGTTTCATTTGTTGACAATAAGCACAATATAAATATCACAGGTCTTATTGGTTAATCTGCAACTCGAATTATGACTATTTTAGGCGTAAAAGAATTTTGGTCACGAAAACTGATATAAATTTGTTGTTTTGATTTGTTGCTTTAATTTGTGATTTTGACTTGTGGTGTGTCACGGCTCGTCGTTGCATCAGTGGTGAAACCCTTGTGTTAGCTGAAGCTGACCAGTGCTGTTGAATTCATGTCCTTTTGACTTCTATCACATAGAATGGGGATCAAAGTAAAATCTCTGTGTGTGTGTGTGTGTGTGTGTGTGTGTGTGTGTGTGTGTGTGTGTGTGTGTGTGTGTGTGTGTGTGTGTGTGTGTGTGTGTGTGTGTGTGTGTGTGCATCCAGGCGTCTGGCACGTTCCACCCTCCTTCTCATACCCCTCTTTGGTATTCACTACACTGTGTTCGCCTTCTCACCTGAGGACGTCAGCAAGAGGGAGAGGCTGGTCTTTGAGCTGGGGCTCGGATCCTTCCAGGTTCGCTCCCTTGATTTAACACAAAAATCTATTTTTATAACTTTACCTGATAATGATGGCAATGATGGTGATGGTGATGATGGTGATGGCAATGATGGTGGTGATGATGATGATGGTGATGATGGTGATGGCAATGATGGTGGTGATGATGATGGTGATGATGATGATGAAGATGATGATGATGATGATTCTTATGGTGGTGATGATTCTGATGGTAATGATGATGAAGAAGATGACAATCTAATCATGATGAAGATGATGATGGTAATGATGATTAATGATTCTGATGGTGATTCTTCTTCCGGCTCCTGGAGGGTACAGATGCTTTTTTCTCCTCTCCCTCCCTCCTCCTCCCAAGGCTCTCTGTCCTGTGTGCCTGTGCTCTGTGCTTTCTGCATTTTTTCTGAAAACTGGAAATTGTAAAACATGGATCTGGTCAGTTGGTCTCTCAACACGATTGACAAAACTTTTTCAACTATGAGAACGGGAGAAGGGGCTCCTGGATGCCCCTCTGGGACAGAGCCAGCTGGGTATATAATGGACTCCTGGAAACAGTGGAACCTGATCTGCCTCTCTCAACTGACTGTAGAGGATTCTGAAGATGTCTGGATATTCTTCGTTTTGGTGTTGGGATTCCTGTTGTTTGGCCTGAGTGGTTACCTGGCATACCGGAAAATTAACAAGCTTCCGAGGAATATTGGCTTAATCCCGGAGCTCAGGGATGGAATGCATCATGCTGTGAACTCACAGACTCATATAATTGTCAAGATGAGTCGTAAGCTTGGAACTTTGGCTGAGATTCAGGCTCTGGCACAGAAGGTGGATTCGATCAAGGCGAGAGTTGACGGATCAGCACAGATTGTAGTAGATTGAATACGCCATTATTGGACTTGGAGGGCTGAAGACCAACAGAACTCTAAGGCAGAGAGGAAATTATCTCTGTCTGTACCCAAAACAATTCTTATCTGAATCTGGTGCCCTTGAAGCCTGTGAGGCTGAAGTGAAAACTCCCCCCCTCAGAAGAAATGTGGAATGCTGCCGTTGCTATGGAAACCCTTTCTCCCTATCCCAGCCTGGGCGGGACTGTGACCGGTGAAGGCTGTGGAACCGTATCTAGGAGTCAATGTGCTCTCTAACCCATTATCTCCCTCCCCTGTCTTAACGGAGGTGATGAGCGCTGCTCTTGTGGCTGCATGCACTGAAGTGAGGAGAATCCCAACCCTACCTCCCCACCTAGTGGACACTTATGTTGTGTATCGTCTGACGTCTGTATGCATTTCTGTTTGAGGTGTTTTTTTGCATAGCAAAGCTGTCCTCTCTGTCAGGGGGTAACTCTGGGGAGCCACCCCACCCCACCCCGACTCTATCCTCATATAAACCCTCTTGATCTATTACGGAGCGCAACTCGTGTTGCGAATGACCACAGTCACCAATTCTTGTCATGTGTCTATGTATTAGGGGTGCAACGGTACAGGTAGCCCACAGTATGGTCCGTACCTCGGTACTGAAACCACGGTCCACGGGACGGTTCGGTACATGTTTGTGCAGCAAGAGACTGCTTTTATTCCAAAACATGCTTTTTATTTTTTTTCTGAGCGAAAACAGAATGTCACAATTGGAAGAACATCAATATATGAAATAAGTTAACATTCTCTGCATTGTACACTAATACCTTCTTTCAATTATCACTTGTATGCAATACAAAATATATTAAAAAAATACAAAATGTATACGAACACACTTGAAAATATTCAAATGGTTCCCAACCATGATACGTGATACAAGAGGTAAGCAATGCAAAAGTAAAAGTGCATTTTGCGTTTTAACAAACAGGAGTTAGCTTGTGCTGTAACGTTACAGTATGGAATAAATGAACCCTCTTTAGTCTGTACTGAACACGAAATAATACAACCTCTTCTTCAAGTATCAGTAGTGAATTGAAATTTTAAAATATACGCAATGTAAAACAAACACACTAAATAAACAATTCCCATCCTCGACAACAATGTGAACGAAAAAGTTTGCTTTACCTTTATCAAAAATAAATTAGCTTGTGCTTAGAATAAAAAAGCAGAGCAAAATAATTTAGTAAATAATCCTGCATTCAGGATAAAAAGTGCAATATTTACTCATCCACTTTTGAGAGATTTTTGTGCAAGAAGATGAGTCTATCAACACTGTCTGGTGCAAGGCGAGACCAGTAGGCACTAACAATGTCCCCAGCAGTGGAGAACATTCTCTCACTGGGAACTGAAGTCCCTGGGACACAGAGGAGCCGTTTTGCCACTTTTGCTACACGAGGGAACTTGTGCTCTTTGGTCTTGCACCACCTGAAAGGATCGGCATCAATGCCAATGGAGTCTGCCAATCTGTACGAAGCAACTTCATCCTCGACTACCTGGGCAAGAGTTTTGACCTGATCTTGTTTTTTAAAAACCTCCCCAAATAGCTTCCACTCGGTGACTGCATTTTTTAACTCTTCTGCTAAATGCGCACTTGTGTGGCTTTCATAGAGGGGGCGAGTCTGCAGTACGGCGCTTTTCATCTCCCAGTCCAGCAAGTAGTGAGCCGTCACAGTCATGTAGCTCTGTGTAGCCCGAGAAGTCCAACTATCAGTGGTCAGTGCGAGGCTTTCTGCTTAGCCAAATCACTCTCGATGGCATTGCGCGTTTTGTCGTAAAGACCAGGGATGACGACCTGACTAAAATGTGTGCGACTGGGCACAGAATAACGTCAGTCGAGCGTCTTCATTAAATGTTGAAAACCCACATCTTTGACTACAGAAAAAGGCTGCAGATCTTTCGTGATAAACACTCCCAATGCATCAGTAATTTTTTTATGTTTCTCTGAAAAAGCCCGGTAGGTCTGAGCAAAAGCATTCTCGACAGACAGTTGTTTTGCTGCTGGTGCCTGTGCGGCGGGTTGCTCGACTGACCTGTGTTCAGGAAGCTTTATGTCTGCATGCCTTCGCTGGTTATGTTTTAACGTGTTGCTCGTGTTTCCACTGGAGTGCGAAACATTTACCAAACATTGTTTACAGACTGTGTAACCTCTGTTGATTGTTTGTACTCCTTCGTGGTTGTACTCAACCCCAAATCCGAAATAATTCCAAACTGATGATTTAAAAGAGCCTGGTGCCTCTTCAAACTCTTTCCTTTCAACTCCACTGCAGCTCGCCATTTCCTCGTGTCTCTTTGTGCGTATCCAGCCGCCTAACTGAAGTAAGAGTTTGTGAATGAGGACGCGGATGCACAACGGTGATTGGACATTAACTTGGGTGTGGGCCTTCATCTACCTGGACAGGCAAACGCACATGGTGCCATGTAAAGCATGAAATAAAAGAGCAGCGCAAAATCAATGGGAGTACCGAAGTCCCGCGGGACAGGAGGGCGGATTGTCCCTTGCAGGGCGTACCGAACGGTCCGGTATTTTACCGCATACCATTGCATCCCTACTATGTATTGTATGTATGTCTGATCTCAGAATTGTTTGTACTGAAACAATTGAATTTCCCTCTGGGCTTCATAAAGTACTTTTGAACTGAATTGAATTGAATTGAATGAGGATGATGGTGATGATGATGATGATTGCTATGATGAAGATGATGATTGTGATGGTGATGATGATGATGGTGATAATGATGATGATGATGAGGATAATGGTGATTATGATGATGATGATGAGGATAATGGTGATTATGATGATGATGATGATGATTGCAATGATGAAGATGATGTTGATGGTGATGATGATGATTCTAATGGTGATTCTGATGGTGATGATGATGATGAAGATGATGATGGTGATGATGATGATGATGAAGATGATGATGTGATGATGATGATTCTTATGGTGATGAAGATGATGATGGTGATGATGATGATTCTAATGGTGATTCTGATGGTGGTGATGATGATGATGATGGTGGTGATGATGATGAAGATGATGATGATGGTGATGGTGATGAAGATGATGATGGTGATGATGACGATTCTAATGGTGATTCTGATGGTGGTGATGATAATGAAGATGATGGTGGTGATGATGATGATGATGGTGATGAAGATGATGATGTGATGATAATGATTCTGATGTGATGATGATGATGAAGATGATGGTGGTGATGATGATGATGATGATGATGATGATGGTGATGAAGATGATGATGTGATGATGATGATTCTGATGGTGATGATGATGATGATGGTGGTGATGATGATGAAGATGATGATGATGATGATGATGATGAAGATGATGATGGTGATGATGATGATGATGATGATGAAGATGATGATGTGATGATGATGATTCTTATGGTGATGAAGATGATGATGGTGATGATGATGATTCTAATGGTGATTCTGATGGTGGTGATGATGATGAAGATGATGGTGGTGATGATGATGATGATGGTGATGAAGATGATGATGTGATGATAATGATTCTGATGTGATGATGATGATGAAGATGATGGTGGTGATGATGATGATGATGATGATGATGATGATGGTGATGAAGATGATGATGTGATGATGATGATTCTGATGGTGATGATGATGATGAAGATGATGAAGATGATGTAATGATGATGATGATGATTCTGATGTTGATGATGATTCTGTTGCAGATAATGATGATGATGATGGTGATGGTGATGATGGTAATGATTCATAAATCACACTTTACTTCTAACTGATCTGTGTTTTACATGTTTCTCCTCAGGGGTTTGTTGTTGCTGTTCTCTACTGCTTCCTGAATGGAGAGGTACATTTTTGCATCTTTTTTATTTTGTTAGTTTTATTTTGTTCTAGAAAAAAAAACTCCCTGCTGTTTAAACATCCCACCGAAGACAACTTAATGTCTGAATATTAACTGCTTAACAAAGCAAAGTAAAATCATTTCTTTTAACAGATGTAACACTTTTTATTGATAGTGTAACTATTAAAACTCATTGGAAGATATATAAAATATTAAGTTGTGTATTGTGCATTAGAAGCAATGTGATGTATCCACAAATGAGTAACTGTTAAAAAGTGCCTATAGGCAAGAGTCTGTATGTGTGTGTGCAGAATTTAAATGAATAAATGAGACAAACATCCTGAACATTTCCCCACAAGAACGTCTCCCTCCTGCAGCAGCACTTTTCTCGCCTACTAAGCAGTGACGGATTAAATATCCTGTAAGCTGCTTGAGACTTTCTCTTACATCTCTGTAAGTGATAATGGCACACATACAACGAAACATCAATGTGAAAATGTGATCATAGATGTTTTATGGAGCTAATGTGTTTGGTGGATTTTGTAAGATGGTGATAATAGTGACTCATTGTTGGAAAAGGGTAGAATGTCTTCTTTGGGTCAGGGATGAGGTCCTGCCTCAAGTAGAGAAGTTTAAAGGGACAATGTCTAGTTTTTACTGTAAATTTCTGGAAATATTCATCAAAATTTTGTTGAAAATGAATGAAATGATGCCCAGTTGTTGAAAATTTTTGGCGGCTTCATAACATATAACCATAAAAATCTGGTCTAAAATGCATGGGAGTGGGTCTAAGTCTCTGGGCGATGCCATATTAGATGTCATGTTTTCTTCTACGGAAGCCCTTTAGGACAAAACATAGTTAATGATTTGTAACAAATGGTTACAACGCTTTCACCATTAATAAACATTGTTATTTTACACATTTACCTCTTCACTTATTACCAGTGATAAAAGGGAGTCTGGTGTGCTTGTTATTTTGCTGAAGTTTGCACTCCCGGGCCTTTTTGACCCTAATGGGCATCCATTGGTAAGGTCTTACTCCAATACAAAAATACTGCTTGCTTGCAATGATTTAGGTAAATACTGCCTCCTATTGCCAGGGAAAATCTTGGGATCTTGTTCACGAGTGAGGGAAAGATGGAGCATGAGATCGATAGGTGGATTGGTGCTGCGTCTGCAGTGATGTACCGGTCTGTCGTGATGAAGAGAGAGCTGAGCCGGAAGGCAAACCTCTTGATTTACCGGTTGATCTACGTTCCTACCCTCACCTATGATCATGAGCTTTGGGTGGCGACCGAAAGAACGAGATTGTGGATACAAGCGGTCGACACGAGTTTTCTCTGCAGGTTGGATTGGCTCTCCCTTAGAGATAGCGAGAGAAGCTCGGTCATCCGGGAGGGGCTCAGAGTAGATCCGCTGCTCCTCCATGTGTGTAGGTCCATTTTTAGTGATTTACAACATTAATATATTCCTGACATGGGACTTATGTGAAAACAAAAGCAGACTTTTAACTTTTGTGGTATTTTTGAGTTTGCGGTTTTTATCTGATAAATCAGGACATGTTTGCTCTCGTTACGAAATTGCACAAAAAGGTGTGAAGACAAAATTCCCTTAAAGGATGGGGTACAAAAATATCCTAAAATATGTAGATGGCTGCTACCCATTTGATTGAGTGCTGCGGTTCATCCCTGTCCTCAGTCTCCATCAAAGTTATTATAAAATGATAAGTTGAGTTATCCCCTTATTGTTGCTAATACCATTTTATTGTGAAATCAACTAAATAAAAGCGATAAAAGGCTACAAACTGGCTACTTTAACTAGCTTCAATGAAGTTTATACCAGTGTAATAATGGCTAAGAGGGCGGTCCCAGGAGCGGAGTGACATCACGTGCAAAATCTTCCCCTCCTCTCCTTGATAACATCACGCTAAAGACCCAAACTTTAAACTATTGCATCCTAATATTAAAAAAATTCTACTCACCAACACAAAACAAGGCTCAGTGTGATATTTTACTACAAACTGATAATTCGTCACTTTTCAACAAACAACTGAGTTCACTGTACATCCTTGTGGATCTGGCACAGCTTAAAGTACATTAAAAATGACCTTGTGAAATTTCTCCCTGAAGGTGCAGTCGGAGATCAAGAGGAAATGGCGCAGCTGGACGGTGAACCGGTACTTTGCTGTGGACCTGAAGCAGCAGAGGCACCCGTCGTTGGCCAGCAGCGGTGTGAACGGCGGGACCCAGCTGTCGATCCTCAGCAAGAGCAGCTCCCAGATCCGCATGTCCAGCCCGCTGGCGGAGAACGCCAACATCAGCCTGCCGACCTGAGCGTCTGATAGTCCAGAACCAGCTTCAAGGTGCCGATCCGTTTCCTTTTAGACCAACCGGAGCAGACCAAAGTGGTCCCTCTTCACCTCTTTTAAACAAAGGGAGAAGCATTTACTGGAGGTGCTCAGCTGGCTTTCACACGTTAAAGATTTATTTATCTACACAATAATAGAAATGTTATTTGACTATCTCGGGTCTGCGACAAAACTGTGGATTCTAAACATTTCTGTTTACTGAAGCACCTTGCAATTTTTTTCAATTTGCATAATTTTTAGAAAATGTAATTAACTACAGCTGGTGCCAAAACAAACACATTTACTTGTAAAAATGAAAAAAGTATAATAATTTAATATGAAATGTAAAAAAATGGGTCACAATTTGGCTGCTGGTGTAAAATGAATGTGCTTCAAAGTGCCATACTGTTTTTGCCTGACTGAATCTCACTACAGTCCAAAGTTAAAAACCAACCAAATGTTCGCTTTGCTTGTATAAAAGCTCATCGTTTAAATGTTTCGTCCTAAATTCAAACTTGTTTCTACAATCAGCCATAAGTACAAAGTATGTCAACATGCATTCATGCATATAAATAATAAAAGGAAAGGAAACAGCTTATGGATTGTGTAAACAGTCGATGGTGTCTAGATGAGAAATGCTCCTTTTAGCATAGCGCTGTCGGAACTGGAGCCCAAATCTGTAGATTTTATAGTGTATCTGGGGAACCTGTTTGAATTTCAGTTGATTTCTTTGTAAGAAATAAACCATTAAACACATTGTCTGGAATTAAAAATAACTGATAGCCATAGCGCTATATATCCCCGCCTGTGAGGCAAAATGAGACGAGGATTTAGGTGTTTTGTGCTACAGTCACGCCGCGTTTTCCCTGCACAGTACAAGATAGTTTTATATCTTCAGGCTTCAAAGCATTTGGGTTTTTAAATCTGGTCTAGATGGAGCCTTCAGCTGCACAACAGGAGTTTCCTCCAGCTGGTTTTTGCTTTTCGCAGATTTACCAAAAGCAGACTGGGATCGTAAACTTTGCCGTCGTCCAAAGTCGTTTCTCCTGTTGCTGGTGACACAGCAAGCACCTAGAGCTCGAGCTCATCATGGCATCTTAAGAATATTAATTTGTAATTTGTTAATTTACCAACTGCTACGTTTGTTTTCCAAAGTGCCTAGTCAGTTACTAATAGCTATCACTAAAAGAATAGTCTAAACATGCATAGAGGTCCTCTTGTGTTTTATCGTTGTGGCAAAATTAGATTTTTGAGGTTTTCTTGTTGTTTTAAATGTAAAAAAAACAACAACAAAACATTCTGGTAATATCTTCCTTTTAAAATGTGAAGTTATTGATAAACTTATAGTGTTACATTAACTGTGTCTGCTCCGCTCACTTAACACCAAATGCATCAAAAGTCACCACAAAAGGCTTTAATTTAATAATTCAACAGCTCTCGACAATCGTAAATGAGTGTTGCTCTTTGGGGGTGTGTGTGTGTGTGTGTGTGTGTGTGTGTGTGTGTGTGTGTGTGTGTGTGTGTGTGTGTGTGTGTGTGTGTGTGTGTGTGTGTGTGTGTGTGTGTGTGTGTGTGTGTGTGTGTGTGTGTGTGCAAACGAGCTAACCAAGAGTAACTGTGCCAGTGGGCGCCATTTTGGGTCAAAATAAAATGTGAATCCTTATGTACAGGATGTGTTTTTCATCATGTGCTTCAGAAATTTATTAATTTACTTATTTCTTTTGTACTGTCACTCACATGAGCTCTTGTTTATTGAAATGCCGGACTCTGATGCTGTGTATAAATATGGAGTTTTCATTGAACCATGTGCCGTGTACAGTATTTAAGCTCCTTGACTGATGTCTTATTTATTACATTGATGTTTGCTAGTTCAAAGTGCCAAATTTGTCCTGTGGGGTGAGATGTGGCTTATTTTTTCTGACTCAGAAGTCAATAACGATGGGAAAAGAAGCCGTTGAAGTTCCATAAACATTGACACAGCATCTAACACTGCTTGTTGGAATAAACAAATAATAAAATCTAACTATAATCAGTGACCGTTAGGTGAGAAAGTGAATTACATTAACATTTAAAACACAGTGTGTCTGAGAATTGGAAAACCGCTCTGCTGCTTACGTGCTTTATCACCAGCAGTCATTCTGAGTCCAGACTGGCTCAGGAGGAAACGACCATGTTTTAATGCTGTTATTACCGTCTGTGAACAAGACCCCATACAAGTGCGCTGCTGTGCTTTTGTCTACCACTAGATGGCAGCAAAGTTTGATAGTGTGGTCTTTTGGTTCTCATCAAAGTCTTGCCATGATTAATGAGCTGTTTCACATAAAGTTACACCCTCAAAGGGGATCTCCTGCACAAAGTCTAATGCTAATTAATGGTGGTTTATCCAATATCCCTATTTTCTTACATTTCATTTCAGTTTTGATGGAGCATTTTCACCTAGTATCAGCATTTACAGGTGAAACTGGAAACATTTGAATATGGTGCAAAAGTTAATTTATTTCAGTATTTCAACTTGAAAGGTGAAACCAATATACAAGATAGACTCGTTACATGCAAATCCAGATAATGCAAGCCTTTTTTTGTTATAACTGTGATGATTACGGCTTACAGTTTTTGAAAACCCAAGTCAAAATCTCCGCCAGTTAAAATATTAGGAAAAGATTCAATAATTTAGGCCTGATGTGTCATACTCTAATCAGCTAATGAATCCAAAACACCTGCAAAGGGTTCCTGAGCCTTTACTCAACTCGGTCTTTATTTGTACAGGACCTTACAGACAGGAGACATGGCACCAAGGCACTTCACAGACAAAATAAAAACCAATAGTAAACCGAAATAAACCAACACACAGAATGAAAACAGCAGCATAACTAAAACTCAGAGGAAAACGCTGAATCATAAAAGTAGGCTTTCAGGCTTGTTTAAGGACAGAGGAAGCTCGTTCCAAAGCTGACACTGAAACGTCTCCATCCCCTCTCGTATTCAGACGTGATCTAGGGACCTAAAGCAGCAGAAGATCCTCAGAACGAAGCGTTGGAACCAGGGAATGTGACCACAATAGGGCTGCCAGGTAAGGTGGCGCCAGTCCATTTAGAGCTTTGAAGACCAGTAAAATAAGTTTAAAATAAATTCTAAAAACAACGGGCAACCAATGTAACGTAGCCAAAATTGGGGTAGGATGCTCAAACTTCTGCTTACCCTCTACAAACTCGGCAGCTGCATTTTGCACAAGCTTTAGATGGTCTCTCAGTCTAAGATGAATTAGTGAAATAAATGGACTTTTTGCACCATGTTCTAATTTTTGGAGTTTCACCTGTAAACACTTCATTGTAAAATTTAACCCTTTTACTCTAATGTTTCAAGTGAAATTAGACCAACTCCACTCAGCATGTCTGGTTGGTTTTAATCATGGATATGAGCCTTTTTTATTTTATTTTTTTTTACTTATAATCAAAAAGGACCCTTTGAGGAGTCCTGGTTCATGTCAGCTTACCTGTGCATCCACTCTCCTTGCTTTTTCTTTAGAAAACACAATCAAAGCAAAGCTCTTTATGTATTTTCCAAAACGATTAGAAAACACTCATTTTAAAAACTTTTTTTTATTGCCGGGAGATTAAAAATATGACTCACATTTCGTTTGAATGCAATAAACGGGCTGTAAATAACAGCATTTGCTTGTTTGTTTGTTTTTTTCATTTTAAGACTGTAGAAGAAGGTCTTTGCATCCTCAGCAAAAATAAATCAATAAATAACTTTTTTTTATTAAAAAAGAAAAATTTGCTACCATTCCAAAAGAGTCCAAACTCTTTGTTCTAATGCATTTTTATGTGATTTGCATATTTGTGTTAAGACAGCTTATTTATTAGTTGTGGCTGTTAAATCAGTCTGGTCAAGACTCTGTGAGTTGTATGGATTGCTGATGATGAATTGTGAATGTACAGTTCTCGCTACTCAGCTGCTCTTAGATGTTGCCTGCTATCAAGATGCCCTGGTGTACAAATGATGTCTTTTCTCTTTCTAGATGGTGTATATTTTTGTCACACAGGTGGACTTACGACCAAGATCTCTAATGTTTGTGACCATGTTTTTTGTACATTTGTTTATGGTCCAGTTTTCAGAGTGTGTGTGAATGTTTGAAATTTGGGGAGTGTAATTTGTGTGCACATGTACGTCATGACAAGAATTTGTACAGATATGTCATTTAAATGTTGGGAAAAAATAATTTTAATGTAAAAATGTGTCATCTAAGTTAAGCTCCACGTGTAATGGTGTTTCATGTGTGAACGTTCTGCTGTCCAACATTCATGTCCCAGTTTGTGCAAAACTGACTGCAAAATAAATGTGGTAAATTGCTGTGCTTTGTTTATTTGAAACCTTGTTTTACCTATAAGGGCAAATATTACCTGAAATGCATTGTAATTTTATTGTAGCCTAATTGTAAACTGTCAGAAGCCTCTCTCAACATTTACATTAATTCAACCATTCAAAAACACATTATTTATAAAACTAACCTTGTAGCATATTGACCACATCCAAGGATACTTTTTATACTGCACATCAAATGTGCAGAAATTAAGAATGACACCTTGTGGCCAAATCTGGGTACTGCAGTCTATGTATCAAAACAAACAAGTCCATTCCTAGAGAAAACTTCTGTTCCTTTCCTTTCATATTATTTACACAATGCTGCTTCTTTTTGCCAGCCAGTGTTGAATTGCAAACGCTGGCACATCAGTGTTTTGAGGGCACAGACTCTGCAGCCCTGCTGTGGAACAGATTGTAAGCAATGACTACATCCCTCTTCAGGCTTTTTAAAGCAACACTGAAGTGTTTTAACATTTTAAGCTATTGCTTTCAAACTGGTTTCAGTTATTCTTGTGGCAGAAACTTGGCCAACCTTTGATTGGACAGCACTCACCCTCTGCTGACCAGAAACTGCACTTAACAGTTAAGCTAGTTTTGAAAGGGCACTACTCAGAGTAACTCAGATTAGTGCAACTCAGCCTGACAAAATTTTCCAACAGCATGGTTAATTAAAGATTAAAGTCCCATAGTTGCCACACACACTGGTGTGGTGTGGTGAAAATTGTCTTTCACATTTGACCCAGAAGGAGTGGTGAGCTGCAGACATGGCCACGGCCGCGCTCGGGAACTATTTGGTGGTTTAACCCCCCAATCCAATCCCTTTAAGCTGAGTGTCAAGCAGGGAGGCATTGGGTCCCATTTTTATAAAGTCTTTTGTATGGCTCGGTATTTTCCCTCTACCTTTTCCTGATGTTTAGTCTCTGCTCCACTGAGGTTCCTTGCAAGGCTGGGTCGGGCCAGTATTGCGACTGTGGCTGCTTTTTGGCTAGGGGGTGGAGTCACTGGTTGTTCTGGATTTGTCTGCGTGCTGCTTAACTGCGTGCAGCTACTTCCTGGTTCAAAGTCTGACAAAAGTCATAAAACTGAGCAAAATGTCACCACAATATTTCTGCTGAGTTGGGTTCCTGTAGAGCATCACTTCACATTGTTTACTGATTACCTCATGCTATTTTTGTGCGGAGTAAAAATCGCCCACGCCCCATGCCTATGATGGGAACACCCACTTTCTGTCAAGAAGTTGGCAGGGTAACACAACTACATTCAGGTGAGCTTAATTAACCCACCCTGTACAAAGCTGTTTTAGGCTGAATATTTCCCTTCAAAAACCACCTTAATGGGAGATCTCTGCCTGCTTTATGGCAATAGCTCTGCTGTTTGCTAGTATAAAGGCTAGCAGTTAGCTCTTTTCAGTTCACTGACTGTTTATAAAAAGCACAAGAACAAGAAGAGTTTTGCTTGTTTTGTTGGTGTCATGGCAGAGCCTGGAAGCACAAGGAAGAGAGTAATGTCTTTGGAGGTGATGCAAAGAGCTAAAACCAGAGTGAACATCGACGGGATCTACACTATTTTGAGAGAGCTAAAGGAGGCTATGAAATCACTGACTGATGGTGGCCTGGCTTTGTTGCTACAGAACTTGTAAGTAACAATATTTTTTGTTCAGCTGTGTGGATCTTTTTACTTCATGGCTAGCATCAGATGGCTCGTGTTAGCATTAGCTCATTGTTTGCTCTGGTTACAGGAGGCTGCGGCAGGTTTAAGATAGTAGTAATTCCACTTTCAACTGGTTGGAGGGAGAAGCAGGGAAACTTATTTAGTTTTGCTTCAAAAGGAGAAAAACTGACAACCTTCCAGCCGGCTGAGAATGAAATCTGTGTTAATTTAACCTTCCTACAAACATGACTGAGATATTAAGGCATTTTTGATTATTTCACTGTAAAATTCTTACGTATTGCACCTTTTAAGCCTGTAGATAAGAATATATTGTAAATTGGTTTAGCAGATTCCCACAATATACCAAACCACTGATGACAAAAAAGTAAAAATGCATTACAAATTGCATCATTCTTGATAGAATCAGTTCATAAGAGCTACTATTTTTTCCCACAGAAATACAATTAAAACAATCGTGGCCTTCTTAAAATAAATTCAGACAACCATACAGGTCCAATAATTCCAATTAATCATCAAAAAGACCTGTGCTTATTTATTAAAATGTTAATCAAATTTCAGTGGAAATACCGTGTTGGTCAGAAAAAAGAAAACGCAGTCTTTGGCACTGGGTCAGCTGAAATCTGGTTGAAAAGTACAATCATTTTCCATCTGAATGTTTAGCGAGTTATTATAATGAATCTGAGATTTTTCACAACAAAACAGCTTAAACAAAATAAAAAGTTAGAAAAGAAAATGTGGATATGGTGAGGTTTGAGGTTGGATAAATCACCAATCATACAACAAGCCACATCATTTAGTGGCACTTGATCACAAACACAGTGTGAGTAAACGTGACATCTGATCCTGATTTTCTACCATTTACTGTTCCCACGGATGTTTATTTGCTCATTTCTATACGTATTTTGTCCAAATTGTATACACAACACCCTGAAACCATCCTCAGTGCAGGGCCGGCTCCGTCTCTGTTCCTCTTTAGCAGTGGCACCATAATGTCTGTACATCGTTGTTTTGGGATGTAGATTCAAGATTTGTGCTGCCTTTGCTCACTCTAACATAAACCATCCTGGCATGTTGCAGCGATCTCACATCCTCGTGTTCTCAGTGAAGGGTTGTTAGTATTAGTGCCATCATCATATTCAGCAGAGGATTTCCTCTTTTTTATTATTTCTTATCATTTAGAAAATGAGTCCCATCTCATAAGCTTTCAGGATTCACACAGATGAGACATTGGCACTAGAAGGAGGCAAGACTAGCCCCCCGCGGGTCCGGATCGTAATCTGAGGGATGCTTCTCTTGGCTGGTGTGAGCTCATTTGGGTGGTGGCACCTCCGCAGCCATTTCCGCAGCTCAGTTTGGACCTGCAGGCAGAAACATGAAGATGAGTCTGAAGCAGCAACTTGAAAGGAGATTTTCTGTTTTTAATTACAAATCCTCATTTACCTACCTCTCCATTCATGAAACAGTAAAGGAGTGCCACCACAAACCCCTGCAACATAACACTTTAAAGATCAATTCCTGCAAAGACAAATTTGCAAAAATCTTTTTTTTTTTTCTTGTCTTTGTTGCTAAAATATAAACCTATAAAAAAACTTGGCTCCTCATTGATATCAAATAGTTTAGGTATCTGAAAGGATCTTGGCTCGATTTTTTTTTAATTGAAAATAAACTGAAGTCATCATCTGTCTTACACTGAAAAAAAATAGTTTTAAAACCGTAAAAAAAGACACATTTTTACACATTTTATCTTACTTTTACTCTAAAAAGAAAATAAATTATTCACTAGAGAAGTAACATTACTTAATTAGGGGTGTGACTTTAATGCATTAATTATGTTTAATTAATTAGAAATAAATGACGTGTTAAAAAATTCAGGCATTTAAAGAGCAAGTAACACCTAAATTAACTTTTTGCTGATAACCTGTATAGATGAGTGTCTAATGGTGCTGTACACGTGTGTAATCATTAGTGTGGCAGTTTAGTGCAACTTACTCTAAATTTAATATTTCGGCCCAAAACCGTAATTATATCTCCATCTTCAGGTTAAAACTCTGCTCCACATTCATGTAGAATCAGCTGTGGCTGATGGCTAAGCTGAAAAACATGACGTTGTCAGCAAATTACTACGTGGCTGCAAGTGACACAGTCGCACCTCCACCTGGCTCAGCCGCCACCGGCCGATGTGACACATTAGCGCTCCGAGCCACTCGCCTCCTTGAAAAAAGACCCCCCTCCCCCTTTTCATCTAATGATCATGGTTAACAGGAAATCCTCCAGAATGCTGCAGAATCTGTGTTTGCTTTCCTCCTGAGCAGTAAGTCTTGTGGGAGTGTGTGCGCGAGTGCACACGCATTCATTAACAGCTAGTTTTTAGATTGAGAAACTCCGACAGCACACGCTGGGGGGGTGGGGGGTACGGTCTACCACTGCCTCGGTTCCACTCTCTCAGTCCGCCAGGAGACGCCTCTTTCAGAAGCGTTTTCCTAACAGGAAGTGTGGATGAAATACATCTGCACCCTGGCCTTGACCCTCACTTTAATCACTACTTGCATTTCAAGCAAGACGGAACCTTTGTCATTGCATGATTTCCTCGTAGACCGAATATCACTGACGCACACAACACACTGCTCTGTTAATGGCTACTAAAACGGAAAGAAATTGCCTTGCTTGGACTGATGCAGGATTTAGGAAACACGTCAGCCTCTTTTCTTAACTTGTTAAAAAAAATACTTCCTTACATCTACGGAGTCGTAAAGATCATCTCCGCTGCTGCTGCCCGTGGCACCGGAAACTTTATAAAAGTCGAGGTAACCTATATTTTTAACATTATTGTTACATTTGTGCAGCGCTGAAAGCACCCGACAGAATAATTTTTGCCCTTAACAGCAGTTTATGAACAGTAGCTTATGAAAGTAGTCAGACAAACGAGAGGCACCTGGCTGCAGCTGGGAAAATGCTCTGAAAATGCTCCGTGTCCTCACAACTCTGTAAACAATCATAAACAACGTGTCCTAAAGTAACAGAAACACTCTAAAATCTTTCTGATCATTTTCCAAACAATTCTGTCAGTTTACCATATTTTTCTGAGACGAGTGACTGTCTAAACATCGCATGCGTTACTGTCACTAAGCAGCGAGGTGTGTTGAAGCTATCAGCTGATCAGGAGCTAAATGGGCAAGGGCCTCATTTGTCAAGCTTGCTTACACACAAAACGGGGTCGGAATACTGCGTAAGCAACTTTCCACATAAACTTTGGGATTTATCAAAGAAAACTTGGCGGAAAAATGTGCGCAACTTTAAGTTGACTAAGGTCCTGGCTTACGCACATTTTGGACATGGAGAGCACCTGCAGCGCTGCTGCTGAGAAGAATAAAATTATGAAATCCTGCAGCATTATAACTTGTACTGCTTAGTTTTCACACAGAACAAGACCCCCCACACGCGCACACACACACGTGTGCGCTCACACACACACACACATGTACGCGCGCACACACACACACACACACACACACACACACACACACACACACACACACACACACACACACACACACACACAGCCTTAAATGCAGAACACGGAATGCAGAAAATCAGCAGGGGGACAGATTGAGACAGAATGTCATGCATCTGTGACAGTGTGTGTGTCCTGTTACTGTGACCCGATTGATCATGCGCCCTGGCTACTTGAACAAGGGAATATCTCTGTTTGGGTGACTGGTTAGCAACAGTGACTTTTACCCGGGAGTCTGTGGATCGACTCCCGATTGGACCATTTTTTGAATATCCACCACAGATCTCTCTGAAGAATTCACAACATTGACGGCTTCAGCAATGCTGTGCCACTCTGTGGATTTTCAATTATTTGTTTTGCAAAAGCACTTCCTTTCATTTCTCCACCTCACCCACAAGTAACTCAATTTCTGCTTCTGTGAAATTGCGCTTCCTTGATCTGCCTTGATCTACGGTCGCCATTCGTCGCCATTGGCGGAGCGCTGCAACAGCTGGTTTATGTATATGCATGAGATCCACAAGGCACTTTGCATTGACTAAGTGGGCGTGGTGAGGGTGGGATGTGACTAAAAAGCAGCTGAGAAACATTCTCATTAGTCTCCAATTTATAAAGTGGAGATTGAGTGCAGCTGTGCGTACTCCATGTTTGATAGGTCACAAACCTTCTTGGCATGAGTACTTTTTTTTTTTTCTTTTTTTTTTTGCTGAGCTTAAGTACGCTTTTAGTAAGGATTCTACGCAATGTTTGATAAATGAGACCCCAGATGTTTAAGCGCATCAGGAGCCGCGAGGAACAAGAAAGTTGTGATCAGGCTGGAGATCACACCAGATTCGCTGCTGCAGGCGTGAATCTGCGGATCTGCAGCCATCCCCTTCTTGACGTGACCGCGGGACTTCCCATGTAAAGAAGGTCCGCTCACCTGTTTGTCAGATCGTTAATTCCTTGTTATGATCTTTGATCTTCCTCCAGTCATCCAACTGGAACCAGTTAGTGCTCTTGATCATTCTCAAGCCCCATTCCCATCTGTACCGGGTCGGCCCGGGCCGGGTAGCCCCAGTCGGCCCCAGCCTGGCCCGGTTGATTCCACACATCCTTGTCTTAAGCCCATGTGGGCTGATTCTACCCACCAATCAGAGGCTTGCTCTAATGGAAGGTGTGAATTTCTTGTCAGCAGTGGGTGTGTTGGCCCTGGTCGGCCTGAAGCAGTACCCCTCGGGAAGAGGGCCGAGAATGAGCCTTGGTTGGCCCGGGAAAATTCCAGGCCACCCAGATATGTAAACAACCTACGCTACCCGGCCCGGGCCGACCCGGTACAGGTGGGAATGGGGCTTCAGAATATCACGCCTAAGTCTTAGTTAATATTTGTGCCTGTTCTACTGTCATTTTCAAGGATTTTATTCATATATATGTTTTTACTACACTATGTTCTAACGGTAAGTATTGTTGTAAAATAAACTTATTAGTAGAAATTAGTCCTTATCCTGTACGATTAGTCTCTGAACATAGTGATAGAACGTGTCAGCAGTGAACCAACATCCGAGCGGCTGGAAAATGAGTCCTGTTGTTGCAATACCACCTCTGAACACCAGAGTTCGCCAGATTGTCCGTGTTCCATAGTCAACCTGTTTTTTTTTCTTTACCTTACATTATCAGTCTCTGTTGTTCTATCTGTATTTAAATATTGTTAACCGTCCAGTGATATGTTACGTGTTTTTTAGTCAAAGAGACATTTTTGTTGTTGCCGCCATGTTGTTCACAACCGCCAAGATGTGCAAGTATATTCTGCTGTAGATGAAACAGGAAGAAGGGCCGTTGGTCAGTATTTATAGTCCCTAAGTTCATATTGGATTTTGTGAGTAAATGCAATGCTATTTCAGTCTGTGAAGTTAAATCTAATACTAACTGGTACAAATTTTCTTTTATAAATAAAACAAAAACTTTTGACATTTCTACTTAATTTTCTGAGGGACTGCACACCATCAGAAAATGTAACTCCACCCCTAGCCAAGATTTGAAAAATGACACGAAAGTGGGTGTTGCCAGGAGGCAGGGAGTGGCATGGCCAAGTGTGGGGAATTTCCATCCAGGAAGGGAGGAGGAGTGGGAGGAGACTGTACCGATGACATGTAAGGCTAAGTTCACACTAAAGGCAAAAGTGCATTAAATCTGGGTTTTTTTTTCCCCACATGCAAGTCATATCTGATTATTTTATGACCGTCTGAACGCACAGATCCGATTTTGTAAAATGTGATCCGTGTCACTTGAATATGTAATTCCAACACATATGTGATGTTTTTGAAAGCGACTGCAGTCTGAGTGGTCATGTCGCATTAAATCCATCTCCTATGTCACTGAGTCAGTGGAGGTGAGCGTTCCTGGGGAAAATTGCTGACAGAAGGGTTTGGGAGTCTGTCAGGACATCCTGTTATAAGTTCAGGAATTAAAGTAGCCAAGGCGCATGATCTATCAGGATACAGTGACACTCTCCCTGTCACACAAGTTTACACAAACATGTCAAACACACAGAAACAGAAAGACTGCATTTGGCAAGACCCAATTATACAGTTTATAAGCAAAAAATTAAATTTGTTTTGGGGTTCAGTTACTCTTTAAATACTTCATTATTTCTGTACTTATTTTATTTGTGAAGTTTTTGATTTTCTTTCTTTGCAAGCCCTAAGCATTTAGGTTATTGTTAATTGCATTTCTGTTTAAAAAAGTGTTTTAATGAGAAGGCAGCTCAGAATAAACAAGCGCAAGCCTGGGTAACAGGCTGTCTCCTTTCTGTGATCTACAGGTACAGCAAAGTACGTGTTTACAGTGTACTAGCTACACAGTGCTCACTAGCCTGTGTGCTGCGTGCTACCGGTCCGGATTTCCCCTAGGTCTGGCGCCGGTAACAAAAGCATGCAAATATTCTGCTGCAGCTTGTATCTTGAATTTTATCTGATCAGTCTCAAAATAATGTAATAAAGAATATGCACATATTTGCTGTTGTTCCTCTCACATATTCCTGAAGTTATAAGATTTTCCTCTAAAAGGCAGAAAGCAGCCTTTTATAATCTGAGTGATACCTGAAAGTAGGAATGGACAAGATATCGGCATCAATAACGGTATTGGCCGATGTCAGTCATTTTTTAACATATCGGTATCGGTTTGATAAATAAAACCGGGCCGATATTAACAACAGATATTTTTTTCATCTCGTCTCTATTTGTTTGCCTGTTTCAGAGGGTGAGGGGGTGATGTGTATTTGTTTAATCATGTGAACAGTGAATGAAATAATCTCAGAACCGTAAATGTGTGTGTTGTGTGTACATAATAACGCAAATTTGGCTTTAATCATTTTCATTATATACAAAATCTGCTGATTTTTGAAGCATTAATGTCAGTATATCGTATCAGCAAATACCGGTTATCGGCCATAACAGTGATCTAAATATCGGATATCGTATCGGCCCAAAAATTTCATATCGGTGCATCACTACCTGAAAAGATCCCAGACCCAGCTCGATGTAGAGTCTAGCTGCTACTCCGGTGTTCTCCGGCAGGAAGGCAAACACAGTGTAGTGCATCCCGAACAGAGGGATGAGGAACAGCGTGGATTTAGCCAGCCTCCTGAAGAGCAAGAGCAAAGTAATGAAAGGAAGAAGAAAGAGTCGACATCAGTCCAAACAATGATGAAACATCTGTTTAGACTTTGAAATGTTACAGTTGACTGACCGGCTGCTTTCAGTCCTGAATTACATGTGAAAATATTCCCACAAAAAGAAACTTAGAAGAACAAAAGAAAGTGATTTTATTCCAATCAGCATCAAAGTGGCTGAATTAAATTCTCTGCACTGACCTTTAGGGCTCTGTCATTAAGCCAATCAGACGAAAAAATAAACACCAAATGACAAAATCCAAATGCATTGCACTCTATTCCCCGCATTGCATCACCGGTGTGTACATTTCATGTAAAAGTTGCACCTATAATGCAACAATTTTCTAGAAATTTTGTAGCCTCTGCTTCTGCAAAGGGAAGACGGCAAAAAAACGATGATTGGGTTTTGGTCCTGGTCCTGCAGCAGAGCTTGATAATCTATGAAATTAAAATTAATCTGTGCACTAATCAGAATCAGAGTTTTTTGGGGGGTGAAAGCTTTTGAACTTGGTGAAACGATTGTTGTGCAGCAATGACAGAAATGTCTATTTCTGGTATCACATTCTATTTTTATATTTGCTCTCATTTGAATTCTTTCAGCTCAGCGCCTATCTGCTTCTGTCAGGATGCTGAAAGAGGGAATAATTCATGTTCAGGTAAAACGGGTTTCTAGGGATCCAGCAGCAGATTTAGACATGCACTGAAACTCTAATTTCCCTCTGGGATTAATGTACATTTGAATTGAATTAAACTGAGAAAACCTTTTCTCAAGGGATTTCCCCAGCTCCCATTTCCCTCACACTTCCTTTCATTTTAGCTGTTTAAACAGTTTTTGTCAGTGTAAAGAATGGGTCGTTTACATCTTACTTATGAACCATCAAATATGAGATTCCATAGAAATATGAAATATCAATCTGATGGATCTTTGACTATTTTAACCAGAAGATCAGAACTTTTTATTGCAGGGATTAAGTGACACTTTGTATTAACTCCAAGGTAAGAGAGAGAGTCAGGTTTAAAATAGTTAAGAAATTTATTTCTACACAATTTAAACAAGACTAACTTAAACACTCTGTGTACTCATGGAACTAAGGTGGAGTGAGACGTGATGAATGATGATGGTGTGTGTGTGTGGTAGGGTTGTCACGATACTAAAATTTCTAACTCGATTCGATACTGGGGAAAAAACTCGTTACTCGATGCTCGATTTCGATACTATTTAAAAACACCAATTTATTGAACAAGTTTATTCAAAAAATAACATTCCTCAATTTATATTGCAAAAATTAAATTTAAGAATTAAGTGTATAAACTAAAGTGCTTAAAACTTTCAAGTAACAGCATTTTTTAAGTGCATACAAAAACTGACGAAAGTTAACGTGAATTGTCTCAAATTAAATGTCTCATAAAATCTGTTTTCAATATGAAAATAAATCAAATAAAAATGGGGAAAAAAGCATATTTAAACAACACTGTCATTCAAACATGTGCATTTAGAAAACACAAAATACTTAAAGTATAACCAATGAGGTCTTGAACACTTGATATGAATACCATTACATAAAATGGTAACAATAACATATGTAAATGACACTGTCAGTCATCAAATGTGCATTCAGAAAGCACATACGTAAAACAGTTGAACAGTTAAAACTTTATTAACTCTATACTAAAGTTAAGCTTAAATCAGGATACAGGTAAAGAGCGAGACCTCTGCTCTTTGTCTAATGTGTCACTTTTTCCTGGATTTGCTTTGCCATATGGATATTTTTTGCAGTAAACACCAACATATCAATGTGCTCCTCTGTCAGTCTTGCCCTTCTTGGGGAGCAAATGAGCCCTGATGTACTGAAGATGTGCTCTGAGGCACAGCTTGAGGCAGCTATGCAAAGATATTTTTTGGCCAACAAGGCCAGGTGAGGAAAGGTAGTGTGATTGGCTTTCCACCATGCTCTGCCTGTACTTCTGGCATGGTTTGGTACAAAGTCAGCTCATTTTTCAGTTTGTACTCTGGCCTGTCACGATCTGCAGAAGTGATTTCAACTTCATGAGGTGCATCAGGGTGTTTCTTTCTCTCCCCTTGAATGTCAGACAACAATCCCTTCAAGTCAGTTTTTGATTTTTTTGCTGGCCGAGTCTCACTTGGAGAAGCTACAGTGTGAATTTTTGGAATGCTTCTTAAGCTATCACAGAGGTGCTCCTTTACCTCATCTTTCAGTGATGTGAAACTTTGCTTCAAACGTGGGTCAAGAAAGGTCGCAATGTTTAACTGTAAGCGCCCATCCTGGTATCGAGTTTTTAGATCTTTGGCTATCAGTTCCTTCATTTGCCTTGTCAGGTGAGAGTCATCATCTTCTACAGTTAAAACTGAGAAAATCTTCCAGCAGAGAGGGAGCACAGAGGAAAGAGTGGTATGCTTTTCTCCACTGAGAGCATCAGTGAATGAGCTTAATTGGCCCAGCACTTCCTGTACAGTCTCTAAAGTTGTAATGTCTGTATCTTTAGGCATCAGGTGCCACTTTTTTCTGTTCTCTGCTAGAACCGCACACACAGCTTGTTGCTGCTCCAAAAATCTGTCCACCATTTCAAAGGATGAGCCCCAGCGTGTTGGCTCATCATGAATGAGACTGTTCAACTAACTGCAGCTCTTTTTGTTTGTTCTTAAGTAGTCTAACCATCTTTGGTGACCTGCTGAAGGCTGACACAGTTTTTCTAAGTCTGGATAATGTCGATGAGACCTTGTCTACCTCTAGACTTTTGCTGACTGCCAAATCCAGGTTGTGGCCAAAGCAATGGACCCATAAAAAGTCCTGCTCAAAAGCCTTTTTATTATTGGAGGCATTGTCAGTTGTAAGGCCTGCCATTAGGTTAAGGTCCAGCTTCCAGGTATCCTGGATGACCTCCTCAAATGCCTCCCTGATGTTTTTGCCTGTGTGGTCAGAGTGAATTCCAACCCAAACACCAGCTCGTCATCTCCCAAGAATCAGTAATGGATTGAATAGTCACAGCCATAAACGACTCTGATGCCCTACTGGTCCAGAGGTCGGTGGTGCATGAGTAAAATGGTTTACCCTCAAACTGATTCAGTATAACACCTTTGATACTGTTGTACAGAGCAGGGATTTCACTGTACATGAAAAAATTGCGGGATGGAATGCTATACCTGGGATTGAGGTGCGTAACAAGCTGTTGGAAGCCTGGCTTCTCAACTGAATAAATGGGCACTTGATCCATACAAATATATTCAGCAACAAGTCCGTTCAGTTTTAGAGTCTCTGGGGACTTAGGTCCATATTTTCGTTGCTGATCAAATAGTGCAGGCAGTGTCGGCTGGAATGGCTTGGTTGTGGACGTCAACTGTTTCTCTGCATCAGCCTGAGCCGGGTTGTAGAAATGAAACAAAAACAATTTGAATACATATCGAGTCAAATGTCAATTTAAAAAAAAAGTTCTTTCTGCAGTTTGCACCAACAAAGTTGAGCTCAGCTGTAGTTTAACTTAAAAAAGAAGCAGCAATTTTCACGCTTTCTGGTCTACAACGGCAGTCACTTAGACATGCTACTGCAAATATCAACATGGATCACATTTGTGTGTTTCCAGTTTTAACATTTTCCAATAAATCCATAGCTGACCATCATTAAGCACCAAGTGGGGATTGTGCTCAGATTAAAACTAAAATGGCACGAGAACCCAAATTTTTCATTCAGTCTGTAAATCCCTTCAAAAATTAAAATTAAATGCCATGAAATTCCTCATATCAGTGTTTTTGAAATAATTGCTATTTTCCGTCTATTTTAATTTTATGAATTATGTTGTGTTCTTTGTTTATATTTGCAGAGTGATGTTTTGCTGCTTAAACTCTGTTTAAGTTGCATTTTTGTCATAAGCTGTAATGCCATATGTTTTGTTCTGTACTTTTGAATAAGTCTGTTGGTCAATAAAGGGAGAAAACGAATGTCTCCACGGTAGGTACATCTAATCTTAATGAAAACAGATTGGCGCATGGCAGTGACGTCATTAAAAGCGCCGGCTAGATTAGCCGCGGCTAGTCTATTTACGCCTAGAAATCCCAGACCCGCTCCAAACGAACAGGGGAATCACGTTAATGATTCCTAACAAAACCTTTCGACATTGAGATGTTTTGGTGCAGATAATGTCTTATTTCGAGGCTGCACCATGGGTGCCCGTCTGCACCCGTTATATGGATGTACACTGACGGCGATTCACCAATGGATCTAAATACCCCAGGGAAACCAAGTAGCACCAAAGTTGTCAGCGTGAGTAAACAAACGTACTGCATGCTAGAAATTAAGTCCGGGTTGCAATAAACGGGAGTTTTCCTTTAAGCATATAAGCGTGAATGTACAACTACGTGTCGGACTTGGTATGCTAGCTTAGCTAATACTAATACGTGAGCTCAAATTTTTTGGTGCAATTAGACACATTCTTACTAGATTTAATACATTTTAGACACCTGTTTCATTTCATCATGCAGTTTGGGGTGTCGGTCTCTCAGATGCTTGGCCAAATTTGTTGTGCTGCTGGACTTCGTAGAGATCTCTTTGTAGCACTCCTTGCAAACGGGTCTGTCATGGTCCATTGCTTTCCCCGACTCATCAGCCTTGTATACAAAGTGTTTCCACACTGCACTTTTGCTCTTTGTGTTGTTGACTAAGTTGGGCTGTGAAGCACCTCCCGAATTCTCTGTTGCCATTGTTCACAAAACTTGGATCGGAGACAACTCGCGCGGGAAATTGCAGTGTAGTCATGCTTCTTCTGTTTGTCCGGGAGGCGGAGGCTGCTTTACGGCATCTGGCTGTCGTGCGTGTCGGTTTACTTGAAGAAGGCTGTGTATATGTGAGACTCCATAATATCGATACCACAGGGATGGAATATCTAATTTGGATACCACTTTTAATATTGATTTATATCTAGGTATCGATTTTTTTGACAACATTAGTGTGTGGAATGT